ATTTGACAACATTCAGCACCCTTTTCTAATAAGAACTCTTTAAAAAAATAGACATAGATGAAACATATTGGAACCTCAAAATTATAAAAGCTGTATATGGGCAGACCACAGCCAACATCATACTGAACTGGGAGAAATTAAGAGCATTCTTCCTTAGAACTGGAACCAGACAAGATTGCCCACTATCACCACTTCTATTCAACGTAGTGTTGTAGCCAAAGCAATCAGGCAGAATAAGGAAATCAAGGTTATCCAAATGGGAAAAGAAGAGATCAAACTATCACTCTTTGCTGATGATATGGCCTTATATCTAGAAATAACTCAAAGATTCTGCCAAGAGACTCCTGTAATTGAAAATAAATTCAACAGGACAGCGCCTGTGGCTCAGTGGATAGGGCACCGGCCCTGGGCAAACTTGGGCACCTGTTCTAGCTACTCAGGAGGCTGAGGCAAGAGAATCACCTAAGCCCAGGAGTTGGAGGTTGCTGCGAGCTGTAATGCAACAGTACTATACCCAGGACGACAGCTTGGGGCTTTGTCTCAAAAAAAAAAAAAAAAAAAAAAAAGGGTGAAAGACTTCTGCAGAGAGAATTCCCAAACAGTGAGGAAGGAAATCACAGAGAATGTAAATAAATGGAAAAATATATTATGTTCATGGATTGGCAGAATCAACATTGTTAAAATGTCTAAAATGCAATCCCCATTAAAATGCCAATGTTATTTCTCACAGATGTAGAAAAAATTACATGTCATAAGGAACCAGAAAAGACCCTGTATATCCAAACCAACCTTAAACACACACACAAAAAAGGGGGGGAGGCATCAATTTACCAGACTTCAAGCCATACTACAAGGATATAGTAATCAAAACACCATGGTACTGACACAAGAACAGAAACACAGCACAATGGATGAGAACATAGAACCCAGACATAAAACTATCCTCATATTGCCATCTGATCCTTGACAAAGCAGGCAAAAACACACATTGGGAAATGGTGCTGGGAAAATTGGATACCCACTTGTGAAAGACTTAAACAGGATCACAAAAATTCATGATGGTTAACAGACTTAAGACATGAAACTATAAAAAGTCTAGAAGAAGCTGGGTTCAATGGCTCACGCCTATAATCCCAATATTCTGAGAAACCAAGGTGGGCGGATTGCCTGAGCTCACAAGATAGAAAACCAGCCTGAGCTAGATCAAGACTCTAATGTCTCTAAAAATAGCGGGTGTTGTGGCACATCCCTGTAGTCCCAGCTACTCGGGAGGCTGAGGCAGGAGAATCACTTGAGCCCAAGAGTTTGAGGTTGCTGTGAGCTATGATGCCACAGCACTCTACCATGGGCTACAAAGTGAAACCCTATCTCCAAAAAAAGAATTCCAGAAGAAAATGTTGGAAAAATACTGATAGATGTTGGCCAAAGCAAAGAATTTATGAAGAAAACTCCAAAAATAATCACAGCTACAACAAAAATAAATAAATGGGGCCCAATGAAATAAAAAAGCTTTTGCACAACTAAGGGAACAGACAATAGAACAAACAACCTACAGAATGGGAGAATATATTTGCATGCTATACATCCAATATAGGGCTGATAATCAGAATCCACAAAGAACTCAAGCAAATATTTTAGCAAGAAAAAATTACACAAGCTGGCCTGGCCTGATGGCTTACACCTGTAATCCTAGCACTCTGAGAGACTGAGGAAGGAGGATCACTTGAGCTTAGGAGTTTGAGACCAGCCTGCACAAGAGCAAGACCCCATCTCTTAAAAATAGAAGAAAAATTTCTGATTGTTGTGGTGGGTCCCTGCAATCCCAGCTACTCGGGAGGCTGAGGCAGGAGAATCACTTACACCCAGGAGTTTGAGGTTGCTGTGAGCTAGGATGCTGCCATGACATTAGCCTAGACAGTAAGAGTAAGATTGTGTCTCAAAAAACCAAAACAAAACAGAACAAAAAAAAAATGAAAAATAACCCCATTAAAAATTGGGCAAATAGGGTGGCACCTGTGGCTCTAAGGAGTAGGATGCCAGCCCATATGCCAGAGGTGGCAGGTTCAAACCCAGCCCTGGCCAAAAACTGCACCAAAAAAAAAAAAAAAAATGGGCAAATAGACTAATTGCCAACAAACATGAAAAAATGCTCAGTGTTCCTAATCATCAGGGAAATGCAAATCAAAACCACATTGAGATATCACATACCCCCAGTGAAGATGGCTTTTATAGAAAATTCCCAAAACAAGGCAGGGCTGTAGTGGCTCATGCCTGTTAATACTAGCAGTCTGGGAGGCCAAGGTAGGTAGATTGCTTGAGGTCAGGAGTTAAGACCAGTCTGAGCAAGAGAGACCCTCATCTCTGCTAAAAATAGAAAGAAATGGCTCGGCGCCTATAGCTCAACCGGCTAAGGCGCCAGCCACGTACACCTAAGGTGGCGGGTTCGAATCCCCAGCCCAGACCCGCCAAACAACAATGACGGCTGCAACCAAAAAATAGCCGGGCGTTGTGGCGGGCGCCTGTGGTCCCAGCTACTTGGGAGGCGGAGGCAGGAGACTTGCTTGAGCCCAGGAGTTGGAGGTTGCTGTGAGCTGTAATGCCACGGCACTCTACCCAGGGGGACAGCTTGAGGCTCTGTCTCAAAAAAAAAAAAAAAAAAATAGAAAGAAATTAGGGGCGGCGCCTGTGGCTCAAGGAATTGGGCACCGGTGGATATACTGGGGGTGGCGGGTTTGAATCTGACCTAGGCCAAAACTGCAAAAAAAAAAAAAAGAAAAACCAGCCTTCATTTTGGGTGGCACCTGTGGCTCAAGGGAGTAGGGCACTGGCCCCATATGCCAGAGGTTCAAACCCAGCCCCAGTGGAAAAAAAAAAAGAAACAAATTAGTTGGGCATTATAGCAGCCTTGAGAAGCTGAGGCAGGAAGATCATCTGAACCTGGGAGTTTGAGGTTGCTGTGAGCTAGACTGATGCCACAGCACTCCAACCTAGGCCACAGAGTGAGATTCTGTCTCAAAAAAAAAAGTATCAAAATAACAAATGCTGGCATGGATGCTGAGAGATAGTAACATTTATACATGTTGGTGGGACTGCAAACTAGTACAACCTCTATGGAAAGAGATATTGAGATTCGTCAAAGAACTAAAAGTAGACCTACCTTTTCACCCAGTAATCCCAGTACTGGGTATTTACCCAAATGACATTTTATAAAAAAGATACCTGCACTCAATTTTTTTTTCTTATTAATACAGTATTTATTAGCTGGGTGTGGTAGCTCATGCCTGGAATTATAGTACTTTGGGAGGCTGAGGTGGGTGGATTGCTTCAGCTCAAGAATTTGAGACCAGCCTGAGCAAGATAAGCGGGACCTCGCCTCTACTAAAAATAAAAACGCTAGCCAGGCGTTGTAGCCAATGCCTATAGTCCTAGCTATATGGGAGGCTGAGGTAAGAGGATTGCTTGAGCCTCAGAGTTTGAAGTTGCTGTGATCCATGACACCTGGCACTGTACCCAGGGCAACAGACTGAGGCTGTCTCAAAAAAAAATAATAACAGTATTTATTTACTTTTCCTCTGTCAAACCCTGAGCTAATCACTTTTCCCAGGCTGCCTGGGGAGGTATAGAAAAAGGACTATACAGGCAGATGAAACACCACGGAAAGAACTATGGGAGGTGGAGACAGTTTCTTTACATGGCAAAGAGGATGAGAAAGGCCACATCAGGCAAAAGAATCTGATGGCTTCTGAGAGGGCAAAGCCCAGAATGGCATTGGACTGCTGCTTCAAAAAAGAGTTTCTGGCATAATCAATGAAGAGACTTCCAAATGTCTCAGCTCCAGAGCCAGCCAACCTAATTGTGGCAGCCCCAGCCCCAATGAACTTGGCCACAGTGCTGATGTTCTTTGAAATGGCGCTGGTTTGGAAGCTGTATAGGGACAAGTGAGGTTGGGGATGTGAGATTGCCAAGATGCTGAAACTATCATCTGTCTGTGTCTCTCTGTGTCTCTGGTCATTTCGGCACCACTGCAGACAGTTCAGCAGCTAAGCAGTGCTCTTGACCAAGGTGGGCTGGAGACAAACTTTGAGCAGGTGTACATTTTTGGGGGTGAGGGGCTGTGGCAGGAGAACTGCTCCCAGTGCAGAGAAAACAGAAAGGGCTGCACTTGCATTTTATAACAGCACAATTCACGATTGCAAAGATGTGGAAACAACCCAAGTGTCCACCAATACATGAGTGGATTAATAGAATGTGGTATATGTATAACAGGGAGTACTATTCAGTCATAAAAAGTGGTGAAACCAATATTTCTTGTATTAACCTGGATGGAACTGGAGGAGTAAACAAAATGCTTGTTTTTAACTGTTGTGTAATCTATATACAACAGAAGGAAACAGAAAATGAACACAAATTAATTTATGAAATGGTAAGATTCTAGCTAATTTTCTTTCTTTCTTTTTTTTTTTTTTTGAGACAGTCTCACTCTGTCACCCTCAGTATGAGTGCCATGCCTGCCACAATGCCCAGCTACTTTTTAGGGATGGGGTTTCACTCTTGTTTAGGCTAATCTCAAGCAATCCACCTGCCTCGCCCTCCCAGAGTGCTTGGATTACAGGCATGAGCCACCGTGCCCATCTATTCTTTTTTCTTTAAATAATTTGTTTAAAATTTTATAAATAAACATTTTGGGCAAATTTTGAACCAAATTCAGTCAAGCGGCTTCACAACAACAATGAAAAGTAAAGTGGAGGTCAGAGGATATACCAAGAGATAGGTGGGAGTGGACTTTAGCCTAGAATAATCATCATCAGTTACTTCCTATAAAACTTGACCAGCAAAACTTTATTCAGCTTCAGGACAAGTCTCCTCTATACAGAAATTTCTAGTAATGGAGTCAGTTCTCACACCACAGGCCCCAGATCTATTCCCTTGTGTTTTGCATTTTTCAATCTTTTCAATAAACATACTGTCTCAGACTTTGCTTTCTTATTCTTGGGTTTCAGAACCATGTGTGCTCAGTACTGCATCTCCTTTGCTGATGTTGAAAAAGCTCATATCAACATTCGAGATTTTATTCACCTTACACCAGTGCTAACAAGCTCCATTTTGAATCAAGTAACAGGGCGCAATCTTTTCTTCAAATGTGAACTCTTCCAGAAAACTGGATCTTTTAAGGTAACAATCTCTTTTCTTAGTATATTGTATATATTTTCAAACCTCCTTCAAATATAAATTTATTGGCTCAGTGCTTGTGGCTCAAGTGGCTAAGGTACCAGCCACATACACCTAAGGTGGCAGGTTCGTATCCAGCCCGGCCGCCAAACAACAATGACGACGGAAACTAAAAAATAAAATAGTCAGGCATTGTGGCGGGCACCTGTGGTCCTAGCTACTTGGGAGGCTGAGGCAGGAGACTTGCTTGAGCCCAGGAGTTGGAGGTTGCTGTGAGCTGTGATGCCTTAGCACTCTACCCAGGGGAACAGCTTGAGGCTCTGTCTCAAAAAAAAAAAAAAAAAGAACAAAAAACAAATATAAATTTATTTTACTCTCCTTATCACCTAGTGTGGTAGGTAGAAATAAATTGATGCCTTTTAGAATTGAAAAGAAAGCTGCAGGTGTTGCCTGTGGCTCAAAGGGGTAGGGCACTAGCCCCATATGCCAGAAGTGGTGGGTTCAAACCCAGCTCTGGCCAAGAACTGTAAAATAAAAGGAAGTTGCAAAAATTTTCAACTCCTGGTTACCTTGCATTATGGTGTTGATAAGTCACTTTTATGCAATCTAAAAATCCTTTATAATTAGGGTAATATAATGTATTATCCAAATAACTTATACATATATGATATAATACAGACATGTGCCACATAATATATCTATCAGTGATAGTTTGCATGTACCATAGATGTTTCTAATGACTAGTACCATAATATAATGCCTTTCTTTTCTTTTCTTTTCTTTTTTTTTTTTTTTGCGGTTTTTGGCCAGGGCTGGGTTTGACCTGCCACCTCCTGCATAGGGGACCGGCACCTTACTCCTTTGAGCCACAGGCGCCACCCTAAAATGCCTTTCTATTATCTTTTTTTTTTTTTTTTTTTTGAGACAGAGTCTCACTTTGTTGTCCCAGAGTTGAATACCATGGTCTCTGCTTAGCTCACAGCAACCTCAAACTCGTCAGTTCAAGCAATCCTCCTGCATCAGCCTTCCAAGTAGCTAGGACTAGAGGTGCCTACCATAATGCCCAGCTAATTTGCTTTATTCTTAGTAGAGGTGGGGTCTCACTCTTATTCAGGCTGGTGTCAAACTCCTGAGCTCAAATGATCCTCTTGCCTTGGCCTCTCAGAGAGCTAGGATTACAGGCATGAGCCACCGTGCCAAGCCTATAATACCATATTTTTACTGTACCTTTTCTATGTTTAAATGTTTAGATACACAAATACTTAACTGTTATGTTATAATTGCCTACATAGCAATATAATAAAGTACTATAAAGGTTTGAAGGGCTTAAAGCCTAGGAGCAATAGACAATGTACTGTATAGCATAACTGTGTAGTAGGCTTGGTATACATTTGTGTTAAGTACACTCCATGATGTTAGTATGATGACAAAATTGCCCAATGACAAATTTCTGAGAATGTATCCTCCTTGTTAAGTGATGTGTGACTGGCTTGGCGCCTATGGCTCAAGTGGCTAAGGTGCCAGACACGTACACCCAAGGTGGCGGGTTTGAATCCAGCCTGGGCCGTCAAACAACAACGGCTGCAATGAAAAATAGCCAGGCGTTGTGGCAGGCACCTGTGGTCCCAGCTACTCGGGAGGCTGAGGCAAGAGACTCGCTTGAGCCCAGGAGTTGGAGGTTGCTGTGAGCTGTGATGGCATGACACTCTACCCGGGAAACAGCTTGAGGCTCCTGTCTCAAAAAAAAAAAGGGATGTGTGACTGTGTTATATATAAACTATTGTCTAGGCTCGGTGCCTATAGCTCATTGGCTAGGGCACCAGCCACATACACCAGAGCTAGCAGGTTTGAACCCAGCCCAGGCCTGCCAAATAACAATGATAACTACAACGAAAAAATAGCCAAGTGTTAATGTGGGTGCTTATAGTCCCAGTTCCTTGGGAGGCTGAGGCAAGAGAATCACTTAAGCCCAAGAGTTTGAGGTTGTTGTGAGCTGTGACACCATGGCACTCTACCAAGGGCAACAAAGTGAGACTGTGTCTCAAATAAATAAATAATTGTCCAAACTAGAACACATAATTATCTAAACTAGGACATACTTGAAAATCAAAGGGGACATTTGTAATGACTAAATTAAGATATCTTGCTGTTGCAGGCAAAATGAGAAATATGATCACCCTGTATATAACCCAAGTTAAAGGTTTCAATTGTGTTATGTTGCTATGTTATGAATTTAAAAGATCTAAATCCTCAAATAATATTTTTTCCACAAAATGTCTGGGTTTTTTTTGTTTTTTGTTTTTAGAGACAGTGTCTCACTTTGTCATCCTGGGTAGAGTGCTGTGGCGTCACAGCTCACAGCAACCTTCAGCTCTTGGGCTTAGGTGATTCTCTTGCCTCAGCCTCCCGAGTAGCTGGGACTACAGGCGCCCACCACAATGCCCGGCTATTTTTTTGTTACAGTT